ATCCACTGAAAGATATTCCCTGAAGTAAAGATTCCATTTGCAGTTATATATCCCAGTGGTGGTCAGATTAATGACATCCGTAGTACCTTATGCATAATGCCCTGTCTCGACACAACATTATGTCTGGCCAGTGAGGGTGATTTATGTGGCAGGTCTGAGGTTGTGAGCTGGACAGACTTGGTAATCACAACTCTACATCCACAACAAATGACAAATGAAGTTCATCCCAAGGTCAGGCAGCCTCTAAGGAGAATCTGTTATTTCAGCGCTGCTGCTTTCACAACTGATTTTTATTCACAGTTTGACACATTCCCATGAGAGTATGAGAATGTTCTTGTGGATTTAGTTGTAGAAAGTGGAAAACCTGTATGGATCTGTATGTTTCGTTATGTGGAACTTCAAATACAGGCCAGTTGGTTTCTTTCTTGTTCAGTTATATTAAGTGCTAGTCCCAAATGACCTGTCTATATCTGAATGATTTAGGGAGATTTTTGCAATACTTTAGCTGCAGCACAACAGGATGTCAAAATCAGCTTCACACTTGAGAAGAATTAATGCCATAGGTTGTCCTTTGGGACTGAACAACAGTTCACACATTTAGTATGAGCGAATCGAGAACTCATATATGAGGCCTATATCATTGGAATTTGGGGTCACGTTTTACATGTACAGGCAGATTTGAGAAAATCATCATATGTGATGATGGTATTTCAGGGGCATAGTGTCTCTTGCTCAGGAATGTAGGAACATTTCTGAAATTTGGTTTCAATGCCCGTCTTGATGTCTTTATCCAAGGCAAAAGGGGTGTGTGGGTGTGTATTTTTTAAAAGGGACCAGAATTTTTTTATCTGTTATTTACCCTGCTAGTTTGAGTAAACACTTAAGAATATTCTTGAACTCTAGTCTAGATATGTAAAGATATTGGACTTGTGTGATAAGATAAGCCGTATGCCGGGTGACTGGTATGACCAGGCTTCCACGTACTACACCACGTGTAGATAAAGCTCCAGTCCTCGTAGCATTGCTGACGTCCTCACACAGGTACTAGCCATTTCAATTTTTCCTCATATACAAATGTGCCTGATTAGTAGTATGTTATGGAAATTAGCTGCTGGCATGGAATTCCCAAGTAAATCTATTCATGTCACAGCAGCAGTAGGCCCATTGAATACAGAAGTTTGTAGTTAATTACACATTGATATTCATTGAATCAAAATGGGAGTGCTGTGAATATCACAGTATTGTAACGATTTTAGTCATCTAGCATTTTGTACAGGATTATATTGTGCAGTGATATGATGTTGTATACCTTAATGCTATGGATTTTGCCAGCTGGTAAGTGTGACATTGAGCATGGACTGCTGAAGTTTGAACTCGGTCATGAAGATTAGTCGTGATACAGTAGATGCACCACCATTGATTTCTGAAGGAGGTAAAAGTTTTCAGAGTTGTACCCAAGTAGTTGCCAAATTCCATTGCATAATTAATCATTAGGTCATTAGGTATTAATGATCTGTTCATTTACTTCAGGTCATGTCATGTCATTAAATGTTTATTGACAAAAGTATTAATAATAATGAGATAATACATTGGAAATGGTTTCAAATGATAAACAGGAGTGTGGAAAGAGGTATAAATGTCCTGGAAAAATTGTCTGAGGAGATGGGTGAAGATAAAATGTTATCAGTTGAGATTGGATATGCAAATGAACAAGAATACTAAATGTTGTCTTGACACCCTCCTTGTCAGCCCAACAGCCACCTAGGATCGCCTTGATTGATTACCTTATCAGTGAAGCATGGAGCTGTTCCTCCCATGTTTATGGTGTGGTGTTACAATAACAAAGTCCACCAGTGTTGTATGTCCTAGAAGCAAGGTTAGGGAACAATAACAGGAGGACACTGGCTATCATTAGACACAGATAATATCAGGCAATCCATATGGTGCTTCTTGGAACTGTAGAGATTTGCTAGTGGGAGTTTGAGGGATACTGTTTATGAACTGTGAACTTATCGGATGTGACTTGTTATTCTTTTTCCTCCAGCAGTGGTTTCCATAGATAGATAGGTAGGTAGATAGATAGATGGAAGCTTATTGTTCAGTGTTCAAAATGAAGTCAAGGTGTCTTTCAAATGAGATTGAGGTACTTTGGCAAGTATAGATACCATGGGACATGCTCAATCTTAAGTTCATTTCAAACAAATGGTTTATATCAAATACATTTCATTTGAGGGAAAATAACTAGTCCCTTTAGATTTTTGCTGGTTACTGACTATCTGACCAGTGGTCATCTATATCTATTCTATAAAGTCAAAAACTTAAGGGCGTCAATGACCTAAGGTGTCCCCTTACATTGGGATCATTGCTATTTATAGATGGACTGTTCTAGTAAGAGAAAACTAATAAAACTTTTATGTTCAGCTTTAGAAAGAAATGTTGAGGAAGTCTGGCTCTTACAGATGATGTATTACTCAGACATGACAGACAAGGTTTAGTTGTGGAGTTGTTTTGGACTGATGGATATACATGCATATTCGTGACAGGCTGTGAAATCACAAGTCACACCACATTAGGGCTAACTTGATGGTGTTGCAGGCCTTGGTTTCTTCAAGAGTAGAATTGCCTAATGCCTACTTTGGGCCTTTCTTCAACATTACGTTAACCATAATGTTAGTAAATTATGAATCAAAACATTAAGCATTGTGACATCACGGGCATAGTTAACAGTTACTGTTCTTCAGTTCTACCTGATGATGGGGCCAGAACAAGCCCTGAAACGTTGTACCAAACAATAAAAAGAAGATGAAACCCAGAAAATGCTTTATGTTCATTGTTAAACCCATTTGGACAACATCGGCATGTTGGCACTGAACAGCTTTGATTTCTCCGGATATCAGTGGATAATGTTAGTAAGCAAAATGAAAATAATCCAGAGTATATATTTGTATGGAATAATTCTGTTATGATTTTGATATGAAGTGTGATCTGAGTGAGTCATGCCTAGAAGAGCTGTACACCATGTGCCCTCGGAGCTGCCCCCTCCTACCCTGCGGCCTGTGTTTGTTCTGGCAGTGTGTGTGTAACAACAGCCATCAGTGTTGGTATGCCCTTAACACCTGATTGGGTTATCAGTGGCTAGTGTCCACTGGGCCCTGCTGCTGATGCTGTCAGGCCAGTCTCTCACACCAGGGTCAAGTGAGGGCCAGCAAGACCACACGGTAGCTGCTGCCAGGACAATTGTAGAGGAGGTGTGTCTGCTCTATGGATTATAAGCAGCTCCTTACTGTGATGTAACTCTTGATCAGGTGTTGATATATTCTGGACTAGAAGTAAGTACTTCAATGACAGTGTTTACAAGACGCCTTCGCATCATTTGACAAGATTGTTGCCTTTGAGGAGAGTTTGGTCACTGATGTGTTGAGAAATCTGAACGCAGGAATTTCTGTTGGACAAGTACTTCTGGAACTTGATACATATTCTCTTTGGTGTTGAAGGAACTGGAATTTTCTGTAGATGCATGGCATAGATAGAACATTTAAAAATTAATCAATAATTAACAGACCATTCTACTTTTTGTAAAATGCTTATAAATAAAAAACATTATAGAAGTTTTTAAAACTAAACCTCAGATTTATTTGGCATGTAAGTTTGAATGGCATATCTTGAGAAATACTTCAAGGATTATTGTATGTTTAGTTGTTTTTGTCATGTTTTGTTAATAGTTTTTGAAACATTTGTTTAATGATGGCTTTAGGGTAACATCATGACTTGATGTATCAAACTATTTCTTTTTGTGTTATCGCCTTGTAAAAAGACATTGTTCAAAGGTTTCCAACATAACAAGGACGATGAATGTGTAATGTGGTGCCACATTTCTTCAAAACATTTGGAGACAATTCTTTGTGTCATCTGTCTTTAGTGTCATTGGTTTGAATGTGAGTAAATGTGATTTATCACGTTGTGTCAATTACATCGCAAGGATGAGCCCCTGTTTAAATATGGAATGATTCAGATGTGTGTCTCCAATAGTGATTCATTCACGATTAGCACTCGGAATTCTCCGATTAGATCATTGGATGAATAGAGCATTTTGCATGTTCATGGTGCTCTGTTAAGTCGTGACATAATTGAATTCCCGCATGTCTTGAATCCTATTTAGAAAATATTAATTTTGCACAATAACAACCAGGGGGGAAAAGTGAGAAATGAGAATTTGATTACATGCATTTTTCCCCCATGCTCTCAATTGCGTTGTAACATGACTAGTCATTGTTCCACTTTGTTCACTCTAATCCTGTCATGAAGTGGCCTTTATCAGGGCTTCCATGTGTTGGGTTTGGATTAGTTCATGCCTTGCATTGCTGATATTTTATCAGAATAACAGGCATCTACAGTAAGCCTAATATATATTGGCCATTTTGTCCTCCATTTGAAACAGTGCTATATTTGTGTCAAGGACTCCTGTACTAAAGCCTGTCTGTTGCGGTTGACACTGGTTTATTCTCCAGCACTAGGGGTTTGTAATTACTGACCTTTCAGCTCACCATTGTACCTTTCCTCTGGAAGAATGATGTGTATGTTTGAAAACCATCCAGAGGTTACTGTATTTATGGACACAAAACTGCTGATATTTTGGTTTGGAAAGAAGATACATGTTTGGGACATTTGCTTGTTACAAGCTTATATGTTAGAGTGAAATGGACTGACAGTTATTGACAGCTTCAAAGCCTCATTTTATCAGTTAAGTCGTTTTGACAAGCATTTTCACTTTGAAAGTGAAAAACAGTTGCAGGAGAGCTTTACCACAAACCATTTTTTAACATTTGGTTGATCTTGATAAGGTCTGGAGTTAAAAATAAATTTGGCATGAAAATTAAACTAGATAACAAGTGTTTGCACACAGGGTATTCATATTTTTTAAGCATGCTGCTTCTTTTCAGTTCATAGATTCTTTCAAATGTTGAAACATTTCACTGTACTCAAATTTTGTTTATTTTCAGGAAGGAGAGGAAAGTAAAAAAGAGCTTGCACTACAGTATGGTGATGGTGATGTACAGAAGGCTGTCAAGTGTTGGGTGGACTATCAGGATGGGCAGCGCATTCTGTTGACCACACCCACTGTTCTTGTCGGCTACCGAGTAGAAGTGTACCGAGCTGAAGGTACCACCCAGTGGTACACAGCAGTCATACAGTCATACAACCATACTACTAAGGTACACACTCTTTCATCAGTTTATTCACTATTCTATGTTGATGACTTTCATTGGCAGTTACAAAGTGTGGCCTTTGTGTGGAAGTGCTAGAATTCACTGATTGAGCATTCAGTACCAGATTCTTCTGGACTATGTTTCTGGAATAAAGTCTCAGGCCAGCACTCTGTCTTTTCTGCCATGGAAAGAGAGAGACCGAAATACTGTTCAAAGCAGCATTTAAACTCCCATGAGAAGCATTTAAACTCCCATGAGAAGATGAACTGTGATAATAACTTTCTTCTTGCTGATGACAAAGAATGAGGTCTACTCGTTATGGATTGGCTGAGTCAGTACCTGTTGATTTCGTCTGTCTCACAGTCCCTGAACCACATTATTTCCCCTACTGCCAAGCCCTATCTGCTGTGCTAAAGCCCTAAATAAAGCAAGTCTAGATTTCCAGGTTCAGTCTGAATCTCTGGTCTTCCTGGGGCTCCTTTTCAATTTAAATGGGCTTGTTTGTTACTATCAAAATTATATATATTCAGAGACTAAGCGTTAGTCTACTGTTGATTCCATATTCATTTTTATGTTTACGCAGAAATTGTATTATTTATCTCATGAAGAGGTCCTGGCTCTTCATGATTGAAATCATTAGATATTGTATGTTATTCCAATAGGTTACGTATGACTCAGACTGAAATTGGTATGTTATAAGATATGAACCACTTACTAGCTTTATTGTTTTTGCCTGTCCTTTCTGAGTCAATTACTGTGTTGTTGATATTCATAAGTGGATGGTTGTTCCCAAAAGTATTATTTGTACCCTGAGACACTGATAGGAAGAAGGCTTCGGAATGTTCGTTCCAGCTCTAATGCCCTCAGACTTATGACGTGAGGATAAAAATACCGCTGCAAGCCATCAATCAGTTTAATGAGGTGGAAATCATGTTCATCACTAAACATTTTATGTATGGTTTGTCTTGCTGGTGATTTGTCAACACATTAGGATTAGGAAGGTAGAACGTAAATCTCTTTCAGCGTAGTCACTCTATTGTTGGCATCAGTTCTGTCAAAATTTTCTCTGGTTTCTTTTGATGGAAGCCATAATGTTTCCTGCTCTGATAACTTACCAGGTTACTCATGCTTTTTGCAATTGGTGACTGTGGGAATCTGGTGCCCAGTGTGGCTGCTGGGTTGACATTTAGTTTAGATTATAACTTGAGCTGCATAATGTCAGGTGTGTTTCTCAATTTATCATCACACCCAAGATGCATGACTTACACCATTAACCACTTACTACAGCCAGAGCCACTTTGTTAATGGCTCTGGTTAAATGGCTGAACAGTGTTAAGCACCGCCCATATTAAATGAACAAATATACAGAAGTAGAATGCAAATGAAATGTCATATTGTTCGTTCTGTCCATTGAAGAGACACCTTTCATAGTGTGACTCATGTGGCTTTTGTCGCTTCATGTTTAAGTGAAAGCGTGTGGGCACCACCCAGTGTTTAATGTAAATCTTCCCTGACAGCGTTATTACACTGTAAGTATCTTAGGTTAGGCTGATGCCAGGGAGCATGCAAGTCCACGCAGGGAATTATTCATGTTTTGGTTGTGTCGAGGAATACTGCGTCCTCCTGTTGTGCATGCATGCATACACATTCACACTGATGTGTAAAATCGTGCATTTGACAAGCACACACGCATTGAGTACACACACAGTCAGCCCTGACAAGCACTGGGGTAGTGTTTCTGTTTGCTGCGTATCTGCACATGTAATGTTACTGCAGGTGACATGCAGCTAGTTCACACCAACTCAAGGTCACACATAGTACAGCCAGCATGGTGGTGATGTGCAGTGAATACCCCTTCAGGACCTTTTATTTTTAGACTCAGATTTTTAGCCTTTGTGCCAGTGTTTTCTTGGCATACATGCATACAGGAGCACCTATCAATGACGATGCACCTGCAGTTGTATTTTCCTTGCAGTGCACGCACAGACACTGTCATCTGCCTTGCACATGAAGTAGATGTTCAAAGATAACAAGGGTCATTGATATTCATGTGTTTGGTAGAGATTATTTGCCCACATTGCTAACTTACTTGCCACCCTTTGCCCTGACATTTGAAATACTAGGGAAGATGAATGATCTAACTTACACTCTGAAGCTGACCTTTCCAGACACACTGAAGCGTCCATAGGGTTTGCATATGTTACAAAGACAAACTGCTTGCAAATTTTTGCCACCTGATGGTATTGTCTGAGGTTAATCATGCTTGCAGATGGCTTGACTTTAATGTGTGTATTGCCTTGTGGACAACTGGAGCATTTGCAGGTGACAAGCTTTTACGTGGCAAATATCCAATTATATATTTTGTGTGAAGGAGATTAGGAATCCTATTAAAATGTCCAATTTCCATTTCAATATTAAGTTATTTGCACCAACAGGAAACCAAAGTGGTGAAAAATTTAAACAAGACCCTGTCAAATCACAAGAGAACAAATGCGTGGAAATAGGGATTTTTTGAAAGTGCATCATGACATTACATGATTCAGTACAAGAAAGAAATGTCAGAACATGAGGAGGAAAAAGGGGCAGAAATCTGGAGTCGATTGATGTTTTTGGCAGGATCTGAGTTTGTTAGCCAAGAAACCAGATATTGTCACTCAACTGTTACAGAAAGACAAATATAGTTGAGACTAGCACTGGGAGAGACTGAACACACAAGCTTTCTCTTGCAAACACAAACCACACATGTGCAAGCCAAAATAATACATGATTCATGGCACCACTTCATCCATGGTCTCTACACTCTGAAATTAACTGGCAGGGCCAGATAATTACATTGCATCTGGGAAGGTTTCACTATCTGTAAGTGGGATTTCATATCTGTGAAGTATCTTCTGTCATTAATTTCCTGATATACTGCCACAGGTGCTTGTGAGTTATTTCTGAAAAATGTCTGAATAAGTATGAAGCATGGTACAAATAAGAAGTTTATGGCAACCATATGGACACTGTAGGAATGGCAAGAGTAATTCAGAAACCATGTTAATTTAACAGCATGAAGGGATATAGTTTAAAAGAGCTAAATGCAATTCCTTTAAGGTTCTTTTGTCTGGGGTATTGGTCAAAAAGAAATCTATGTATTCTGCAAAATAGATTGTTCAGGTTTGGTTTGATCCTATCCAGAATGACTCAAATGTTGTGTGTCATGACCTATATAAATGTTAGTACAAAACTTCCGAGAAAGCTTATCTATATCCGTTTAACACCACTGGGGGACATAGTTGACTCCACTTGAAAACAGGGAAGGGAACTTGTTGCCCTATTGTGCAACAGGATTACAACCATCTTGAATGTAGCTGGTGGTGCTGGCTCAAGTGTGGTGTATGAAAATTCATTGGTTGAAATGATGTTTTTCATTTTAGTTGATGGACTAAGGAATGAATAATTGTTAAAAAGTAGCATTATCATTTTTAATAATTTCATATTTTGTGGTCTGATACATTTTATGATAATATTTATCATTGAAATTGTCATAAAATACTGCATTACATTTAATGGTTAACAGCATACAAAATTTAAAGCAGTTTGGAGGACATTTTAAACGTTCAGTTTTTCCAATGCAGTTTGGAGAGGATTTAAATGAAACAATCAACTTGTCAGCATCCTTGACAGTTATCACCAGACTGTGACCTTGACCTTGTTTCACTGTTTGTCGCTGTAATAACCTGGTGGCATTGATGGTATTTTGTGGCTGGTGTAAAGGCTGTCCACTTGACAATCCAATCTAGGCAGTACATACACTGGTCTTTGTATCTGTTTGTGCGGAGGTGATCAATGTCCACTACCTTGTTATCTGCTGATGCATCTCGCCTGTTTGTCAGCTATTATCTGTGAGGCTTCATGGCCCTTTGTTTGGCCATTTAATGGTGTTGAACTTGTCACAAGCAGGACAGGAAGGGTGGGGTTGGGCAACATTAAAGCAGGAGATAACCAGTTAGTGGTTCGCAGCCATACACACTTCAAGATTGTGGTCAAGTGGGGCTTTTGGGGTAGCACACAAGGAGGTGGCCTTGCCACTGACTGCCGATTATCTGTTTCTCAGTGGTCTTGGAGAAGAGCTACCTGGCTGATGATTCAACATTGCCTGAGTATGCAAGCAGGTTTACTGGGATATGATGATAGTGTTGCTGATCGATCTTTATAATGATGCTGAAATAAGATGTACAGGAGAGAGGTTGACTCACCTGGTTGACTTCGGGCTGGAGAAGGACATGATTATCAAATTGATACAAGATGATGTGAACACTATATGGCTGGTATAATGGCTGCACCACATTCAACATGCCGATTAACTAGAACAGGCTCTACACACTCGCGACACAATCGATATCGGTTCGAGTGACCGATTTGTACCATTTGTTGAATTCGATTTATCACTCAGACGATGTGACTTGGTCGAATTCGTCATATCCATTTGACAGGACGACCCCAGTGAGTCGCCTTAACATAGTCCAGGTTGCATGGAGGGAATTTCTGTTGGTCCTCAGTCTCAGTGATCAGAGGTTAGAAGGACACAATCTGTATTGTTTCAGGGGCAAAGGCAGATATTTTGTGTTTTGCTTAATCTATGCATATTAGTGGAATATAACATTTATATCGGACATGATAAAATTATTGCTGTCAAGATATGGGGATTGGTGGGGGGACTTTGTTGAAGGAATGTCTGATGGTTTTTTTAATTAAGGACAATACCTTTGTTAATAGTTGTGTGTACGTTTAAATATGCTATACCTTCAGGTACCGAAACTCCCCTATGCTCTCCATCACACCGTGATACATGATTCACCATGATAATATTCTAACCTTATTCTCAGGCACTTCTGTACAGTGATTTATCCACTATCACAAGTTACAGGGGCTTCTTTATATCAGGTACAATGCACACTCAGATATAATTCATACAAAAACCTTTTGTAAATGGCTGAACAGGAACTACATTCTATCAATTT